GCTGCCGTGGCCCCCCGCGTCCTGCGCCCTTCATGGGCTGCGTCCTTCCGTGGCCGCACGGGGCCCTGTCAGACCGCAGTGCTGGCTTTCTGACCCTTTCCGGACGTTTGCATTAAATGTTTCTGTTTCTCCCTGGCATTTTTTTCAGCGTCCTAGTTACATTTGCTATTTCAAGTATCCATAAAACTACAGAATTAACAGAGAGTCTTTGTCCTTTCTTAAATATCTGTGGCACCACGTGCATGCGCACGCGCGCACACGCACACACGCACACACGCACACACCCCGTGGGATTAGCTCGTATCCTGATGGGGATTCTTGTCCGATGCCTGCGTTCCTCCGGGAGGATGGAAGCGTCCGCACGTCATCGCAGACACATGCAGGACGATATGGCCAGGCTCTGAGCCCGTGAACACACGCGCGTGCGACCCTCGGGCTGCGTCCCGCGTGCCCGGCACGCCAAGGGACGTGAGCCGCTGCAGGCGGCACCGTCGGCTCGCACGAAGCCGACATCAGTCCTGTCGCCACGGCCGGACGTCACCGTGACCCGGGGGAGTGTTTTGGTGACTTTCTGCCGAGGGAAGCACTCGGGAAAAACCAACGAAAGACACGTGAAGACTGTCTGCGAGGAAGCAGCCGCCGTGGGGCGCAGTGGCAGCCGTTGGGGACAGACGGAGCTCGTCTGCGTCTCTGTGTTGCCTGTTCTTCGGGAAACTTCTTAGCTTCTTAGTAGCTGCCTGGACGACCAGGTTCTGTCAGACCTGGCGTGTCCTTCACGACCCCAGGAAGGAAACGATGCACAAAATCGACACGGCACCCCAACCAAAGGGCTGTCATGATCGGGCCGATGAGGGGACGTCACTCCCAGCTATGAGTGTCGGGCCCTTGGGGACGCAGGGGACAGGGGCGTGGCTATCGGTGCAGATTACGTGACACGGTGACACCAACTCTAAACAGTGTCTTTAATCCTCCGTCCGGAGTCACCGGAGCTGGAGCCGTGACCTCTGCTTTCTCGTCGTCCTTGCAAACGGGTCTTTGGGACACAGGTCGCCCAGGCCCCGTCCGAAGGTGACTCTGTCCTGTTTTAACGTCCGAGGGTCTGAGGGATGAGACGAGCCGGCGGCTCCCCTGGGACGGGCGCTCGGCTGCCTTTCCCGGTGTCCGTTTGCTGCGATGTCACCGTGTCACGGTGGGAACATCTGTGAGCGGGTCGCCTGTCCCGGAACCCTCGTGTGGTGTCGGACACACGCGTGTTGGTTCCTCCGAGAGCCAGGTTTCCCTTTCCTTGTGTGAATGAATCTCCGTTTTCAACGGCTTTTCCGTGTCATGCGTGGACGATGCTGCTCAGCTGGTCGCTGCTGCAAAGCTTCTGTCTTTGCAGGTTGTTTCATCAGAACGATGCGAACGTCACCGGACGAATCCCGTGAGCCTAGTTCGCCATGTTCTGAGTCCCTCGGTGTAGGTGGGACCGTCCGTTCTTGGACAGCCAGAAAGAATTTGCTAAAAAAAAAACCTCCTATCTGTTCCTCCCGTCCGCACTCCGCCGAGAGCCATTCTTTTGTAATTCCTGTGTTTCTTTGATGTTCGTGGTTCTGACGAGTCCTGATTCCCGGGATTAGCTCGTCATCATCAGCGTTTTCTTGCAAAAGGGTCCATGTCCTTGCGATTTTCCTATTTGAGCCATCGAGGAAACGTAGTAGGAATGCGCTTGGCAGGAGGGGCCTGTGACTTTCGGATCTCGTGCGACACGCACGTCCCTGGTTGCAGGGTGCACGTGCAGCCCCGTGGCGTATCCCGTGCTCAGTCCTGTCTGGGTCCCTGTTTTGGGCTCTCATTTTGGACTCTCCGTCCGCGAGCTGGTCACACGTGTGCCCCGCAGTCTCCCGAGAGTTCCGGTGCCGTCCCTTCCCCTGTGTGCGCCGAAGCGTGCTCGACACTCAGCGTCCCACGGGGCGTGTGTGACTCCGGGGGCCACGTCCAGGGAATGGCAGCTGCCGACGGAGCGTCACGTGCACCGCTCACGAGCCGCTCTGTCCATGAACGTTTTCATCGGGAATCAGCCCTATCTCGTAGGACTGCAGCCAACCCTGCTTTTCTTTTCCTCTTAATTTGCAGGTTTCTCATTCATTTATGTTTTCAATTTTAATTTCCATTTTCCATTCCAGTCGACGTAGAGGCAGCGTCGGGTGTGTGGCATCGTGGTAGGACATTTGCAGGGCTTACGAGGTGACCACCTCAGCGGGTCCGGTGCCCACAGTCCCTGGGCAGGGTCACCCCCTCCCCGGGCTCAGCCCCGTTTCCGTGCGGGCCACACGGCCTGTGGGCGTTGGGGTGCCATGCGCGGCAGCCCCCGCATCGATGCAGAGCTCACCCGCTGATAGGAGGGAGCGGAGCGTGCGGACCCCGCGGGCACCTCGCAACGCGACAACCAGGAAGGGGTCGGGGGCGTGCGGTTGGGGCTCCCGTGTCTGGCCGGTTCCAGACCCCTTCCCCCGAGAGGCGGGAAAGAGCTGCTGCCGACTTTCCGCAGATCGGCTCCTGCGGTGCTGGAAGCCGAGTGCGCGTGCGCGTGCCAGGCCCCGAGTCACCTGCTCCGTTCTCTGGCTGTCGCGAGGGTTTTTCCCTGTTTATTTTTATTTTTTTCCCCTCCTTGCGTGTGTTTTCGGGGAAAGTCAGAGCGGTGTGTTGGGGATTCCGGTCCAGATGGCAGTGTGTTCTAGACCGTGCGTCCCAGCCGCCCGTGGCAGAGCTCCCTGTCCCCAATCTGTCACAGACGCACAGTCTTGTCAGTGGAACGGAATCGAGTGACTAGAAAAATCAACGTTCAAAACGTGCCAAACGGGAGGACCCAGAGCTGCCTTTTCTTCTCGCCGCTGGAGGATTCAGCGAACAGAAAAGGATCGTCGGCTGTTTTGCCAAACGCTGCTCCTCCGTGTCTGGCTCGGCAGACGGAGAGCAGCAGGGTGTGGGCGCCGCCTGTGCGCACCGTGCTCCGGGGGTGTCTGGAGCGGATGCGCCCGCCCCCTCCGCGCTGCGTTCCTTTCGATGTTGACGGTGGCAGACGCTGCTGCTTCCTCGGTGGCCGTGGGACGCGGGCCCATCGGTGGCCGTCCACACGCCGAGGAAGCTGGGTGCAGCGTGCAGCCTGAAATGTCCCTTCTGCGTGAAAACGAACACGCGGGTGTCAAAGCCTGTGCCGTCCCCAGCTCGAGATTTTCGCTGGCTCTGTGACCCTTGAAATGTTTGACACTGGTCACGAAACGGCAGAACTTGGTGGGCGGGCGTGCCCCTGGGCTGTGTGCCGCGAGAGACGTGGGCGTCAGCACGCGGGGACCCCGTCGCTGTCTGTTCTGGGGTGCTGGGGTTCATGTGAGCGCTTCGTCAGGAGCCGGGCTGGGGGCCCTTCGGCAGGGCACAGGTGACCATGTAGAGGCCACAGCGCCCCAGGCAGGGGGACTGACCAGGTCGCTCGCGGCTCTGGAGGGCCGTGTGTCCAGGGTCCCCCACTGGAACCCAGGCTCCCCCGTGCAGGCCCCGTGGCCATTGCAGGAAGTGTTGTGAGGTGTGGCTTTCCCACGGCCGTCGTCCGGGGACTGCCCGCTGCTTCCGGGGAGGCCCGACGTGCTGGCCCCGTGGCCGTGTCACAGCCTGCGGGCCACGTCTTCAAAGTCAGCGGGACTATCTCTCTCCCGCTCGTCTGCCGGCCAGCGGCGTCTCACGCAATGACTGTGGTCGTGGGACCCCGTTGTCTTTGTCATAGAAGGAGGCCAGCCAAGGCAATGAGGCCCCAATACCTGCCCTACTCTGCGGAGCAGAAGCAGGTGGCCGGCCGCAGCCGCACTCAGGGAAGGGGCGTCGCGCTGGGGCGTGAGTCGCTGTGGGGCGTGGGGTCCATCCGTCCTCACCCGAAGCCCCTCGTCTGTCGACCATGATAACTCCCCGGCCAGGGGGCAGGGGGATTCGCTTACAGCCGAGCTGCCGTCCACGGCCGCGGGGAGTTAACGCACCGCTCTGTTGTTCCGTAGTGGACTTTATGTACTGCGACCTGGCGTCTCTGCGGTCCGTGCAGCTCTTCGTCGACGCGTTCAAGAAGAAGAACCTTCCGCTGCACGTGCTGGTCAACAACGGTGAGTCTGCGGCAGCGCCGGGCCGGGAGGGGACTCGGGGGCGCCGGGTCCTCGTCCGCCCCCCATTCGCGTGACGCGTGCGGGGCGTGTGCCGA